ACAATAGCTAGCCACCCTGTCCTTACATATAAAATGCTGCTGGTATATGAGGCTATTATACAAAATGCAAAACAATGTAAATTATATGTAAAGGTAAAGGTTTCTCTATCAATCATGTCCAACTCTAGGCACAGTGCTCATCTCTGTTTCTTGGCTGAGGGAGCCAGCATAGTCTGAAGATAATTTTCATGTCATATGACGGGCATAGCTATACGCCAAAGGTGCACGGAACACTGCTACTTTCCCACTGAAATGGTACCTATTAATCTACTTGCATTTGCATACTTTCAAACTGCTAGGTGGGCAGGGGCTGGGGCAAGTAACAGGAGCTCACCTCATTGCGTGGAGCTTGGGTCTCGAACCTGTGCTGCCAGCTCTAGCTGACAAGCTCAACGTCTTTAACCGCTGAGCCATCACAACCCCTCAAATTATATGAGGAAACACTAAATAGAAAATACATACTTTCTAATTATTACCATTTTCTCAAATTATTTTTGTCTGCTTATGAGAAAATGCTAGGTATCTTTTAAAACTATTAATGGCAAATGGCATAGGGATTATGAACTAGAAAAAAAATCTGTGTTACTTGTCACTTAAGTTGTTTTGTGCAAATGATTCCCTAATCTGTGCCACACCACTTGCATACCTCTCTGATTCTTCCTGACCATGCCTCTACTCAGGGCTTTTTTTCTCGGAGAAAAGGTGGCGGAACTCAAACCTGGCCACGCCCTCATCAAACCCTAGGACCGCCCCTTTAGAGAACAGGAATGCAAGTAAAATTTGGGAGGGGCTATTTCCGGTGCGGCCGGCCCGGAAAAAGGTGCCGGAACGCGGTTCCGCCGCGTTCCGGCTGAAAAAAAGCCCTGCCTCTACTACACTCGCTTGCACACAACCTCCAACCCTTCACGGCCCATACATCACCTCTCACACCATGCTTGTTGCACACTCTCCCTGACCTGCACAGCATCTCTTGCCCATCATCCTCAACTCTCCCCCACATCCCCATGCAGCCTCTCGCTTCCTCTCCTGCCTAGCAGCATCCACTTTCCCATCAGCCATTTATTGCCTAACTTCTTTTAGTTATGGGAAACTGGCAATGAATTTCCACACCTCTTGACTATGGGATTCAGTTAACAGTGGCAGCTGGGATTACAGGGATTGCTGTTGCGAAAGTGATGCGGTTGCACTGTACAACTGTATCACTTAATGACAGAAATGTCTGGTCCCAATTTCTATCGTAAATTCAGGACTACTTGTATGTTGTGCAGAGGGACTTAGTGTCTTACACTGTGTAAAATACTTGAAAGTCTACCTGTTCTTCCTCTCTCCCTCTCCCTAATTATTGTATACATATGTATTACAAAGATAATGAAGTCAACACTCAAGATTGGGCGCTTTATGAGTTTGAGTCTAAACTGCCCTGCATTCCAAGGCAGCATCAATTCTAGGAATGCGAGAGGAGATGACATTGTATAAAAACAAATGAGAAAATAGCAGAACCAGCCTTGCAAATGCATTCCATTATTATTAATATACACTTGACTTTTTTGGATCTTCATATAAATATGTAGTTCTATGTTTTTTTTTTAAACTAAAAAAAAATAAGGTAGGCATATATACATTTTTAGTGTATATTTGTTTTAACTCACATTTCCATTATCGTAGTAGGGCCTACTCTTAGTATTTCAACCTCAAGCAATATAAAATAGGATATTTTGAATGATGAATTAAGTAAGATTCAAATATCTGATAAGAAAAACAAATTTAGATAATACTGGATTTGTAAATGTTTTTGAGATACATTTTCTAATAAAAATATTTTCTCTGAAATGTCTCTTGAATTGATTTATAATAATACCTTTGAACAATGAACAATGACTTTTCCTGTTGAAAGCTCTTTTTAAATAAACCACACACAATTTTGTGTCCTTTGTCTCCTGCTCAACATTGTTATTTAAGATGATATAAATATTTTATATCTAGATTTAAGTAGTTTACATGTAGATTTAAATACATTAGGCAAGCATATCATATATTATATATTACAATAACCAAAATAGTAAAGTCACTTCTGTGTCTTCAAAAGGGATTAGGACAGATATATTATTCTCAGAGACTTTGATCCATTTTCTTTCCTAACTGAGAATAACAGACTTCTATGCAGATGAGATGGTCAATTTTTTCAGCTGGTGCCAATATCCTATGGCTTCGACAGTCTTTTTCAGAGTGCATCTCTTACTGGATGATTTGGTTATATACCACATGTTGTGTACTTGAGTCCTGCATGAAGAGAACTATGAATGGTAGTGGTTCACAGGTGCAACTGATCTGATGTAAAACTGGTTTCAATATATTCTATTCAACAAAAGAAAAAAAATGAAATATTGTTTAACTTCAAAATTAATCCTTAAAATAAAGGGAAAAGAAACTAATAGAAAATGGTATTTTTTAAATAATTATACTCTTATATACTCTTCCTTTGTTCTTTTATTAAAAAAAAGTAATTCAAGTGTTGACAGTGCTTATCAAAAATCTCTTGTTGCAAATTAGGTGTAGATTTCTCCTGCCAGTGTTGCATAATTTTGTCAGCTCCCATGCATGAAGAAAATTCATAATTCTTGATGCTTTGCTGTCTAGTAGGTTACAACTACCAGAAATAAATCAAGAACATAAACATTATCAACACACAGCAATTCATCCAGTAAAAATAATTTAAATTTTCTTTTGTTTTTTTTGTAAATATGTGGAGTACTATTGTTTTTGAAGAAAAATAAATCATTTGTCTTATTAAAATTTTATTCTGGGAGATGGGTCTGAAACACTACCAGGCATAATTAATTATGGTTGAAGAATATCTGGTGAATGGTTGCAGAAATTTGGTGTGATCTTTTAGTCATTTCTTAGTGCTTTTGGGATTAGGCTTCATGTCATATATACTTTTCATGAGGATAGGTATAGTTTCAATTTACAAGTAGTCCTCATTCACCAACCACTTGTCCAGTGACTGTTTGAAGTTGCGATGACGCTAAATGAGCGATAGTTATGACCGTTCATCGAGTTTCTGGCTGTTGCAGTGCCTCTGCGGTCATATGCATGTGATCTGGTATTTAGCAACATGTTTGCACTTATGATAGTTGTAATATCCTCCGGTCATTTAGTTGCCATTTGTGACCTTCCCTGTCAGTTTCCTACAAGGAAAGTCAATGGGGAAGCTGACAGGGAAAGCCACAATGTAATTCCTCCCCCCCACCCCAGCCTTCTTGAATGCCACACTTTTCTTGGCCTCCCTTTGCAAGAATGTCCCCGTGCCTTCCTCCTTTTCCCTTCTCACGGGTACACTAGTGCCAGGGGTAGGCAACCTTGGCTCTTTTATGACTCGTGAACTTCAACTCCCAGAATTCCTGAGCCAGCATGGCTGGCTCAGGAATTCTGGGAGTTGAAGTCCACGAGTCATAAAAGATCCAAGGTTGCCTACCCCTGCACTAGTCCTTCCTTGCAGCAGTTGGCATATGCAAAGCAGATTCAACATGTGATTCTGTAATGTTCAGTAAGAAAATTGCATATTGAAATGGGAAAACAACTTTTAAGATCTGTTTCAAAGTATTATTAATTTCTGGATCTGATGGACTTTAAAAGATTGCCACCAAATAAAAAATAATAATCTAACTTGATAATTACATTTCCAACAATTTTTAGAAAATGAATTGTTCATTTTAACAATCAGAACTGGAATATGATACCAACAGTGGGACATCCTACATCAATTTTCTCTAAGCATAATATGTGGAAGAAATTAAATATCATTTTCCATTGAAATTCCCATTGCTGCTTATTATACTACATTCAAATAAGAGCTTATATGTGCTCTGAATGAATATGTAATGTGCTTGTAATACTTGTAGAGTTCTTTTGGCTTTCTTTTCCTTCAAATAGTATGGAATAATATAATGTAATATTATTCTTCCCACTTGACTTTAATGAAATAATTTTCTTACTAAATATTTATTAAAAGTCAAATGCATTGTAAGTGGGTAGTTAGAATTACTATGGGGACTACTATAATCTAAAGCGTCTCGCTGTCTTATATCTAATTGAATATAGTTATGTTTCAGATGCATATAAAAATGACTGGATGTAGTAGTAAATATATAAAAATGAGTAAGGTACAATCACAATTTCTGTGTATGCTACAATGTCATGTAATAATGCCTCTTATCACACAATGCTCCTCAACATTCAATTGGGTACAGTATCTTGAAATACAATGAAACAATGCAGGAATAAAAGAAATCCAGAACGAGGAATGCTGAGAGATGTATCTTATAATGTGTAATACTGAACATTGGTTAGCCGTAATTTATAAATTACTAGTAAAATATAAGCCAGAATCCAAACATCCATATGACACACACAGTCTGAAAGATTGTTTGGTTAAATGGATGCAGCATTTAAATATACTTGCAGATGCAACAGTGGAAGTTTCAGTGGTAGAAGCAGAAACAAAAGCAAATGCATGCATGCATCAATGCCATGATGCAATTATTGATATGTTTGTTTGTTTTCTTCAATCTTATTCTCTGAAAATCCCAAATGTTGCAAAGGTTAGAGGACAGGGGAAAAAAATCCAGATGGTCATTTAATAAAGTAGTACTTATGACATTAGGAAGCGATACATTTCACCTTAATTCTAACTCTCTTTAATACATTAAAACAGTTGGGTAAGTAATTTAAATAACGTTGAAAAACTGTACAGTTAAAAAGCATTGAGTAAAATAAGCATAGAATAGCCTACTGAACTGTTAACAAGTATGCAAATATAATTATAATATGATATTTTAGAACATATTTTGAATACTTTAGGATTTTTTTCTTAGACACATTTTTGTATAGTATCTCTCTGTGAGCCTAAAGCAACATTGGCCCTCTTTAATATTAATGTACTCTACTATAAGATGCTGCTTCTTTGCCTCTGATTAATGCTGCCTGTCAATTATTTACAGATCCTGTGGTTTTGTGGAAGTTCCCGGAGGACTTTGGAGATCAGGTTAGACATGTGAGATTGATCCTTTTAAAATGACAGAGTAGTAAATGTAATAACAACAACAATAATAATATTAACATCATTTCCCTCTCTGCACCAGCTTTTCTACTGAGCTGAAGAAAGACAGAGGGTTGGGAATAACAGTAAGATAATTTTCACTAGCTGATTGTATTATTAGAATTTGTTTGCTGCATGAAACATTACGCAGGATATTAGTTACTTTCATGGCCTTATTAAGTTGAGGCCATGGATGTATGTGTGGATTTATCTCTTTGATGGAATTGTTTTTCCCTACTATTATTAATAAACTTCCTGTGGACTACATTAGCATAAATTATGATTGATATAAAAAAAATAAAATTGTCACGAGGTGCATAATTTTATCAATAAGCCCAGATAGTGATTTTAGATATATTTATTCACACAAAACTGATGAATCAGATCAGACATAAATGTTTCATGATAGCTCATCCCATTGTTGATAGAAATATCATACATCAATGTTTCTCAACCTTGAGAACTTGAAGATGTGTAGACTTCAATTCCCAGAATTCCCCAGCCAGCCAAGCTGGCTGGGGAATTCTGGGAATTGAAGTCCACATATCTTCGAGCTCTCAAGGTTGAGAAACACTGTCATATACTGACGCCATAGTATCGGTTTGTCTTACACCTAAAGCCAAACAGGTGGAGCTAAACTAAATATTAATGGTTTTGAATGTCTTTTTTCATAGAAATCTGTAGTATTCGGTGCATAAAATATTTATCAGAGGTGTACAATCTGAGTTCTGAGAACACATAGTTTCAGAGTCCCTTCAAAGCTTACAAACTATAATTCTTAGTTTGATAGGAGTCCAGTCATTAAATACACAGGTAATAATCATGTAACCTGATTCAATTTAATTTGATTTGTATAAAATTTGGATTTAATAGATGTAATAGAAATTAAAATTTTGATTTTACGCTGGCCTCCCTGCTTTTTTTATTTTTTTCCCCTGACTCCTGCTTACAGTTTTTGATGGGTAGTTCGTAATAAGCATTCAGTCTTGTAAAAGTTACCCTTTTTTGATATATATTGTTATATATACCAAGTTACGAGAACCTGGGTAAAAATTTGTATTTAATACATTTCACTAATTAAAAAAACAAAACCGTAATTTCAATAGTTCAAGCATACAGTATTGCATGCATTCTGTTTCTAATTCTGTTTTTAATATTGGGATTTATATAACAATTATGTTTGCCAGTGTGGTTTACAACTCAGCACTTGTGCTCTTGTACCGAGCATAGTTATGCAAATGTGAGCGCTATTAAAATCGACAACACTGATTGTTAATATCAACAGCAAGTGTTCATAATAGTACAGAAATTTTAATTTAATTTAGATTTTAATTCTGGGATTGTTGTTTTTTTTGACAATTTTTCACAGAGAAATAGAAGTTGAACTCTATTTCAGCAGACAGAAACTTCATTTGCAGAATAAAATTAATTTATCTTTGACTGAGAGCAAAGTTTGTTACTTTTAGCCTTACTATCTTAATTATGGTTTAATCTCAAAGGCATAATACAGTTCATATATATTCATATGCTGGGCTTGCATGTATAACAAATGTATTATACTTGAAATTAATATTTTAATTTGCTTTTACTGTGTTAAGAACTTAGATAGATCTCCCTTTGAAGCCCTATAGATACAGTTTTTGAAAACAGAAAACAGGGATTTTTTTTTCATAGAGTTGCTTGGGAGAAGGAGTGAAAAAGATATTAATCCCCCCATCTTTCTTATCAAGGTAGATGTGTGGCCTTCTGCTGTTTACCACATAATGAATCAACTGAATGATGAAGAAAAGTGGATATAGATTTTTAGCACAAAGAGAACATGAAGGATGAAGAGGCCTTGTAGCTGACCATGTATGATGCATATAATATGAGAAAGCGGTCAAATTATATAAATGCACCTTATAGTTTATTAAATAAATGAATAGATCAGCTTCTATTCAAAGTGCAAAAAGTAAAAAAAAAAAGGTTAAAAGGTGCAACTAAAATTAAGGCGTGCAGAGTAGTATTTTTTTCTTAATTATACCTGCTTCTTTTCAATTTTCTTGAAAGTGGCAGTCTCTGTATTTGTGTAATAAATTTAAAAATATTTTCATCCTGACTCTTGGGTTGTTGGCTACCAGTAGCCCTCAGGTAGATTTTTGATTTCCACAAAGCAAACTAATATATAGTTTATATTTATTTACTGCATGTCCTGTATTTTTTTTCTATTTTAACAATTATAGTTAATTATCTTTGCTTTATTCTTGTGATAATCACCATCTGAAATTAATATAATATGCCTCCTCCAATTTTATGTTTCCTTCAAATATTTATATAATATTCTCTGTTTGACATGTTTTTGGTCAAAATATCACCGTTAAGGTCAAAATCGTGATTATAGTACCTTCCAATATTTCTCTATAGAAGCAGCATGGTTTTCAAAGATTTGTTCTTTTGGCACTGAAGTTGAAGGTTTTTTTTTCTGAATAGTTAGATTAAAAGCTTAAAGTTTATGTTAACTGCCTCCTTTTCTTTCTTCCTCCTTCACTGTGAGTAGGCAAGGAACTATACAGTGAAGTATGTTGAATCATTATTCAGTAAAGCCCTATTTGCTCTTCCATGGTTTTCAGATGCTCATAAAAAGTTAAGAAACTTCAAAGCAGCATCTTTGGCAACCATTTTACTACTTGCCATTGCTCACTGCTTCCTGGAGATTTATTTTCCAGGCGAAGGAAGAGCAGTTGAGTCAGGGACCACCATTTTTTGAATTAAGTTTAGTTGAGAAGGTACACATTGCCAGTCCCTATTTTATAGTTTCTGTTCTAATATACTATGTAACTAACTGAAGATAAATAAACAACGAAATATCACTCTCCCTAGCAAATCATTACATTATGATATTCCATAACACACAAATTTTCACCACCAGATGGATTTGTAACTGGCTAACAAACTATACTCAACAAGTAGTCCTTAATGGTATTGTGTCTACATGGAGGAAAGTAAGCAGTGGAATACAAGGTCCCATCTTAGGCCCAGTACACTTCAATACCTTCATAAATGATTTAGATGAAGGAACAGAAAGGGAACTCATCAAATTTGCAGATGACACTAATTGGCAGGAATAGCCAATACCCCAGAAGACAAGCTCAGGATCCAAAAAGATCTTGACAGACGTGAACAATGGGCTATCCAACAACGTGAAGTTTAATGTGGAGAAAAGCAAGGTTTTACACCTAGGCAGGAAAAACAAAAGGTACAAGCACAGATTAGGCAAAATCTGGCTCAAAAATAGTAACTGTTTGAAGGATTTTGGAGTCCTAGTGTACAGTCACTTAAACATGAGCCAGCAGTGTGTAGCAGCAGTCAAAAAAACTAATACAATCCTTGATTGTATAAATAGAGGCATAGAATCAAAATCACGTGAAGTATTAGTACTGTTTTTTAAAGCCTTAGTAAGACCACACCTGGAATACTGCATCCAGTTTTGGTCACCATATTACAAAAAAGAAGTTGAGACTTTGGAGAAAGTACAAAGAAGAGTAAATAAGATAATTAAGGGCCTGGAGACAAAAACATATGAAAAACGATTGCAGGAATTGTGTATGGCTAATCTAGAGAAAAGAAGGACTAGGGGTGACATGATAGCAGTATTCCAGTATTTAAGGGGTTGCCGCAAAGAGGAGGGATCAGCTTATTTTTCAAAGCACCAGAAGGCAAGTTAAGAAACAATGGATGGAAACTAATCGAGAGAAGCAACCTGGAATTAAGGAGAAACTTCTTAACAGCGAGGACAGTCAGTGGACAGCTTGTCTTCAGAAGTTGTAGGTGCTACATCACTGGAGCGTTTTTAAGAAAATACTGGACAGCCATCTATCTGAAATGGTATAGGATCTTCTGCTTGAGCAGGGAGTTAGACTAGAAGACCCCCAAGGTCCCTTCCAGCTCTATACTGATTGATTGAAATCTATTCATTTCTCCTTTGCCAGCCATTCATGTCCCTTCCTCTCAACCTGCTTCTTCTTTCTGATTTTGTCTTTACATTCCTGCAAACTTATCTTTTAATCAATCCTGCTTCAGGACTTTGCCCAGGATTTCTGTTTCTTTTTTTTTTTTTTTTTATATCTTTTTTTTTTTTTTTCAATATAAAATTTTTATTGTTTTCATCATAAAAAACAACAACACCAGTATTACACAATATTATTACACAATATTATATCCCACCCCCCCGGACTTCCCAAACCGAATCCCAGGCTAATATTCAGATATAAGTAAACGAATATTAATTTCTCTAACTCCACAAACTCTATTATAAACAATCCATCTCCTCCATATTAATAAAAATTATTCATTTAAGTAATTCAGATCACCAAAAT